ATATCTTGCTCTCGGCTTCACTCACCGTGTCTATACCAGACGCTACACTTGTGCATCGCGCCGCAACAGCTCTACACCGGACGCGACAAAGCGACCGTTGCAAATCATTTTAACTTTGTGTCAGTACGTCATAAATAGAACAAGGCATCAGGTAAAGCAACAGATTTGTTTTTATATTTCTGCAATCTACTTTAGTTTGTGTGATTTGTTACTGACTTTCATATTAATGTTTACACCAGGCTAGTTAAACAATTACATGCTTACAAGGTTGGAAGTTCAACAAATCAGTCAATATACTGTGATTGTAGTTGTTAAATAAAAATGTAATTCATATCAATTCATGCATCACCTAATTTCATCGTAACATATAGGCCTGGCCTACAGAAAAGAACATTTATGTTTAATCTATCTATAATAGTGTGTTGGTCATACTATACAATGATTTATAGCTTGTCTTTGTTGAATAATACAGAACATAAAGAGCTTTAAAAAATAATTGCATATTAAATCGCAATCACAATATTGGTAAAAAAAATTCGCAATTAGATTATTTTCCAAAATCGTTCAGCCCTAGATCCAGGAGTAATAATTTTTAGATTTGTTTCGTAAGCAGTCATTAGGCAGCATGCATTGGCAGTGTAAAATGCAATAGAGCTTTTTATTTCTACAAGACTCCTCCATTCTCACCGTCACAGCTTGCTCAAGTTTAGCAGAGAGACTGGAAACAGACTTTTGCATGCGCTCATACTCCTCTCTCTGTCTCTTCAGGATGGGCACCTTTGCTTCCATCTCCTGCACAATGTCATCCAAGTACTTGTGTAGTCGTTTATTCTCTATTTTCTCCCGTTGTAGCTGTTCTTGAGTCTCAACATAAGCTGTATATATCTACACAAAATAGGAGGATGTATATTAAAACTGAAAAAGCTTCTGTGAATATGAACAATGCACTTGCATCACAAATCAGAATGCAGGTCAGTACCTCTGTAAGTTTCATGCCTGGTTTGATGATTTTGGCAACTGCAGCAGCTGTGGGAGACATTGTGGTCACCTGCTCCCCTGTAAGAATTGAAGCAGTTCATGGAATGACGACAATAAATAAATAAAGCAACAAATTTATAAGCACTACTTTACATACTAGAAGCTAAGAAAATACTGTGGTGATGCTAACCTCTGTGTTTGGTGTCAGACAGCAGATCATTTGCATTTTCCAGCTCTTTCTCCTGGCTGCTTATTTTCTCTTTCAGTTCAGCGATTTCTTTGTCTTTACAACTCTCCAGCTCTGCCATCTTCACTTCCAGAGCTTTGTGCGCTATCCAGAGTAGACAAGACATTGTCACAGACATATGTAAATACACACAAACATCAACATTAGTTTTCTTTAATGGTCCTCATGGCTGTCAACATGTGTCTGACCAGTAGAGTCGCTTACCCTCTCCAGCCTCTTTAAGCAGCTTGTGAAGTTCATCAACAGCTCTGCTGAGCTCCTCACTCTTGGCCTCTGCATCAGCTGCCGCTCCCTTTGAATCAACAAAATTTTGAACTGACAGAAATTCTTAGAAATAACATTAAAAATTATATTTGAATTATTGTTATTATACTGATTCATGAATTCCTTTAACCATATACTTCAATTCTTTAAGCATTTAAAACTTACCTTATACAAATTTGAGAGTTTGATGTTGGCATTGAGCTCATTACTGAACTTCTCCTCCAAACTGGCTTGCTGTTCCTTTGCCTAAAAGCACAACATATGTCCAATAGATTATGAAAAATTCAGAAACACCATTCAGCTGATAACTTTAGCGATGAATGACAATGTCTAACCTCTCTCATCTTAGTAATCACTTCCTCAGCTTGCCTCTGAAGGTTCTCATTGGATGCCTTCAGACTGGTCACCTGATCTTGGAGGCAGGCGATCTACACAGGTACACAGAGATTAGCAATGTACTAAGAACTTAAATAACATTTCAAAGCAGATAACACAATATTCATGATAACTTAAAATACATAATATAGAAAAAGGTTTGTGCAGTACTTCATCCTCCTTGTTATTAAGGTTGCATTGGAGTTCCAGGATCTCATTGCCTTTCTGCCGGGAAATAGACAGCAGCTCTTCACTCTTGGCTTTAAGCTCAGTATTCAGCCAGGTCACCTGACCCTGGAGTAGATCTTTCTCCTGCTCCATTCGTTTCTCTTTAAACTGGAAGATGAACATAGCATATCAAAAATCACTTTTTAGGGGCCTGGTATAAAAATGCCAGTATGTTATAAACAACAAAGAAAACTGTACATGACAAATGCATTGATTGATTTCATAGAATTTTACCTTGATTGAGACCTCAGTGGCTTCTGACTCATCCAGCTTGAGCTGAAACTGCATCTTCTCTGCATTGACTTCCACCAATCTATCATTAAGATGCTTCAGGTCCTCTAAAAAAAAGAAAGAAAAAGAACAAAAGAAAAAGGAAGAAAATGAGTATATTATACACTACTGCTTAAAAGTTTGGGCTTACTACTTTTTTTTTTTTTTTAAAGAAATTCTACTTCTATTCAACAAAACACATTGAATTTATCAAAAGTGCCAGTAAATACATTTATAACATTACAAAAGATTTATGACAAATAATTACACGTTTTATTTAACTTCCTTTTCATCAACGAACCCTGGAAAATATTTAGCAGCACAACTGTTTTAATAAACATTGATAGTAAAATTAAAATGTTTCCTAAGCACCAAATCAGCATATTAGAATGATTTCTGAAGGATCATGTGACACTGGACTGGAGTACAGGCTGCTGAAAATTCAACTTTGCATCACAGGAATAAATAATAATAATTATTATTTTTTAAACATTAAAATAGAAAATAGTTATTTTAAGTTGTAATATTAATGCCAAATTATATTGTTTTTACTGTATTTTTGTTCAAACAGTGTATGTGAACAAGCTGGTCAAAGCAAAAACTGCTAATTCTATATAACCCGGGAAAAATGTGTTTTTAATGATCATAAAAGAATGCTTATTAAATACCGCTTTGTCGTTCCATCTCCTGGGATCTTCTTTCCAATGTCCGCACAAGTTCTCGTTTTTCTGCCTCAAGCTCATCTTTGGCTTTGGAAAGTTCATTCTGCACAAAGAAGGCACAATTTCACCTTTTCAACATCACAAAATTCAAGACAAGACACAGACGTTCTCCTCTATCAAACCGTTATATGATCTTTCATTACCTGTTGTAATTCTAGTTTGGTGTATGAAGACACTTGCTCCTTATTTTTCTCTCGTAAGCATTTCAGCTCATCCTCTGCAAAAAAAAAAAAAGACGAGTACAAATACAACATTAAGCCTGTTATTTTTTAATCAAAGAAGAGGTGTTGGACTCCCATCTCCTTACCCAGTTTGCAGTACTCTTCTTTCAGTATCTGATGCTCTTGAGTCTGGGACACAAACTGAGAGTGACTCTCTGCGAACTTCTTCTCAATGTCAAAATACTGTTGTTCTACATGAGAAATAAAGAAGAAAGAACATCAGAACGAATCAACATCCATACAAATTAGCCTATGGTAATAAGCATAAGCAAAAAAACGTTTTCTTTTAAACGTTTATTCAATAATTGTAACATATGTTCACTACGTAGTTTGCAGAACAATATGTCCAATGGGAAGAATAATGTTTAAAAACAATAATGAAACCCGGGCCTCGTTAGAGTTTATCGTCCGTACTCTAAACAGTTTACAGTTTATTAATTAAAACAGCATAACCTTACCATTATCCACACGATATTGCTCCTGTTGTGCTTTCAGACAATCAACTTCACATTGCTGTTCAGAAATGTACTTCTCTAACTTAGTTAAGACAGTTTTGGGGAGTTTTGATATCTCCGACCGCTCCAACATTTCCTGCAACACAGCCGCCATTTTTTTGTTGCAATGACTCCTCCTCCTCTGCGTCAAACGTAAACGTGCTTATAACTACTTCCTATTAGGAAAAACCCTTCCGCCAGGTGGCGCTGAGCGGCTCATTCCAATCAACTCGCCATAAGTCATTTTGGAGATATTTGTACGCTATAACATTATAATCGTTTAAACGTCTACTAATTCTATAGACGTGTTAATGAAATACAAAATAAAATCGATCTTGTATGTTCTATGAAATGTTTAAATAAAACGCACCTTCTAGTAATCACAAACGACTGTGATTGGTCCAGCCTGATCAGCGAAGAGAAAAGTAACGCGAAAACCGCGTGTACGTCATAAAAGTAGGTCTGTCTGGAAGGTGATCAAGGACACTGATAAGGTAACTGAATTAAAAACACAATCAAGAGTTAAAATAGTAAAACTTCTAGTAAAATCAATAGTGAGGGCATGCAAGATGATCTCTGAAATATATTTGGTACTTTAATGTATTAATTTGATCAGCGATGATGACTGATTACTGATAAACCCCAGATGATGTACATTAATGTAAACAAAATAAAGCTACAAAATATGATGTATATTCATCAAGCGGCAGCTCGGTTCGTTCAAATACGTGAACACAAGAGGGAGATGTAGTATCGTACATGCACTGCCGACTTGATATTCAGGGTCAATCAGAGAAATATATTGAGATGGATGGTTGTATATAGTTTGACGTGCAACCTTAGTTTGACACTTTTTTTGTTAGCTTTGTTACGATAGTTTAAATATTTGTAATGCAGTAACTTTTAGTACACTTCTTTCTCTGTTTGAGTTACATTTTTATTATCTGTTTTTATTCTCAATAATCTGCTCACTGTCCATAAAATTGGATGATTGATATATTAAAACATTTTAAAAGTAAAACGTTTTTCTTGTTGATTTATGGATTGATTTAAGACAATAGGAATAATGTGCACAGTTATAATTATTTATTATTTTATGTTGTTACAAGTTTTTTGTCATTTATATTTAAATGGCTTTATGTTACAGATGCTGTTACAAAAGAATAGTTGATAAGAGATAACTGAAACATAGTTTTATGTGTTGGTTTTACTTTTGTTTAATTTCTACTTGGCTCATCTTATCCCATACAGTCTTGACATTCATTTGATGAATAGCATTACCTGTCTTTGCCTTCTCTTTCTTGCTTTTATTCTCTAGGAGTTTTCCATTCCTTAGACCAGTCATAACACATATCAATGTGGCCACAGATGAATAATCAATATGGAATTTTCAAATGGAAGCAAAAAATATATAATAGTTGTTAATGCCGTTAGTGGCCCCTCAGGCACTGGATATTATTTACAATAAGACTGTCTGTATGGAGAGATAGTGTAACCTCGCCTCTCTTTGCTATGCAGCCTTAACCTTGAATCAGCCAAGCAATGCTCTCTCTTTCACCTCTTCCAAACGTCAACACACTGTAGAAAACAAAGACCCATGGGAATGTCTCAAGACCTCACAAACCTCATTTCATGTTTTGAAAATGCTACCTTTTTGTTGCTTGCTTAGTCTATAGGGCCAATGCCTTCATAATTACTGCATCAATAAAGAATTAACTTTATTGATTAAGTCTTGCTTTTTTATGGTCCAATGCTTCAGAGCCATTGGTGGTTAAACATGGAGTCTAGTTTGCTGTTTTCAATATCCAAAAAAGGCAAAAAGTTGATCCTGGGTAAGTATGTGTGCTTAATGGAAATGTTTAATGTGTATGGAATTTTTTCCGTGATTTATTGTGTTTTTTCTTATCCCCAAATCCTGGTTTCCATGGTGACATATGGGGAAAATAAACTTCACTACTACTTCACCTTTGCGTGACAAAGCTACATAAGAAGTTTTCAAGTATTTGTTTGTGTGGGTGGGTGGTGAATGGCGCTGTAATTTTCACACAAAGCAGTGTTAAAAAGCCCTGTGACCTCACTTCCCCTTCATGTCAACCCCCCGACCCCACCTCTGTCCAGCCCTTAACCTATGGCCCCGTTTACACCTGACATTAACATCCATCATGTCTGTCCACCCACTACCGCTCCTGTGTCCAATGTCACTCCCAGAAAGCCTTTGCCACCATTATATTCAGAGCTCAGGAAACCCTTCAATGGACAGACTCATTTTGTTTGTCTTTTGTTTCTTTTTAATTTATTTCTTTTTTTTTTCTTTCACATTTTGGCTTGTTTGAAACATTATTTTACACTATTTTTTTCTTCTACGTATAATCCATGACACATTTGTTTTCTTTCTGGCCCAATTCTACAATGCTTTGTGTTACTGTGTCGTTATTTGTTTCATAATCATTCACATGCATGATTCCTTTTGTCAGAGGTTGTTCCTGTAGAATTCCTATGGTTTTGTCTGGGTTAAATTATTGCTTACCTCACAGGTTACTTACACAAAGCTTTAATTTTTTAATTAGACCACAATGATGATAGGAATACTGCTATATATCATATGTTATTATGAGGACCCATCTATTTTTTATTATTTTATTTAATTTTGTTATGTTTAATTTGATTACTATACTGTACCTTACTGTTTCCTACAAAATATCATCACAGATCTTCTGCATTAAATGGAGGGAATAAAATGTTTAGAAACATTCTGTCAATGTCAACCGGCCCTTTAAAATTAATATAAAGAAAAATAATCCTTGATCAGATTAAAAACAACAAAATGGATATTTGACTGTGGTTAACATCTCTAAATATGTTGTTTTTATATTTTCAATACAGTTTCAGGCTTGGCTAACATAATAACAGATTCAAAACACATGAAAGCATATTAGGTAGTTTGTGATCATGTGTTTATTTTTATAGTACTAAACACTTCTTATATTATCTTTCCTAAAGATCTCTAAACTTTATGATCAGGCTTTTACATCAGCTAAATGAGAGAGGTCTTTATGTGGGAGATTTCTCTGTGATGTTCCTTGTGAAAACAGGAGGAAAATGAACAGAACTGAACTGTGAAATCAACCACTAAAAACATAGACACTGTCCAGCAGTGGTCAGTAAATATTTGTTTCAGATCTGTAGGCACTGCAGTCTAAATTAAAGTGTATTAATTTAGATATTATTAAAAATCCATGCAAACTATATATGATGCCCTATATGTGAGTATGTAAGATACTGTACATATAAGTTACATCTGAGGACAGTTGCCTCTACATTAAGACTATTTCTTAAGAACTAGTCTGACCAACTAGTTAGCCAAGGGGTAATCAGTCTTATTTTTTTTAATTCAATTTAGACTAATCTATGTTTTTATATAACCAAATGTAAAAAAAAAAATAAAAGAAAAAAACGTTCAAAATGACTAACTTGTCTAAGCCTTTTATGCAACTGGTCAATTTAGACTAATCTATGTTTTTATATAACCAAATGTAAAAAAAAAAATAAAATAAAAAACGTTCAAAATGACTAACTTGTCTAAGCCTTTTATGCAACTGGCCCCTGCTTTTTAAACATTTTTTATTATATTTTGTTTTTATATTTACATTTTTAATATTACATGTAATTTTATTATTACATTTAATATACAGGACAGTATTAACTCAGGACAGTATATCTTTTCAATATATATATATATATATATATATATATATATATATATGCTTTACTGTCTTATAATACAGTATCCATAAAGTTTTTAGTCTTTTTAATCTGTCTAAGCCATGAACCCGTAACAACATGTCTTAGGAATTAAGTCCAGACGAGGACTTGGCTGTTTGGGCTACTCCTTCACGCATACGGGAGGCAAATGTGGTGTCAGGTGCAGATGTTGTCAGAACATGTTCGCGTGAAGTGCAGACGACCTCGTCGCACACTATATAGCAAGAGCTCAGCGTGAGACACAAAACGTTACCACAAAATCACCAAACCCTGCAGGCCCTCAGTGGGTGTGTCTGCATGGATTGGCCCTCAAGAGAAAATATGTTAGTCTCAAATTGGTTTGCATGTCTTTTTCAAATATGAACCAGACGGGGGAAAAAATTGCTTCACAACCCCACAAGCTGATTCAATTTTGTTGCAATTGCTGTTGAATTTGTTCTGAACTATGGTGAGATTAAAAACTTAGTTTTAGGTAAGGTAACAATCAGGGCCAAATTATAGGATTCAAGCATACAGTAATATAGCCTGTATTTGTCAGTACTGCATGTTCAAATTAAGTAGGTCATTTAAAATATTTATTCAAAAACACTAATAGTTGGATTAGAGTGAAAATATCCTGCATGATGACAAAGGCTCCAGTCGGGGCAGCCCGTATTTTGACACTAATCAAAATAAGATCTTGGATTTAAATCCAGTAATAAGATTCCAGACTAAGTTTATCAAAAAAAGATCACACACACCTCTCATAAAAACATGACAATATGGGCGTTTAGCTTACTGATGACATGATAAGTCATATTGAACTATGTTTGTTTGTTGACTCCAGGTATTTAACCAGCTATTTCAGGACAACAGCAGATAACCCACTCTAAAAAGAGAAGATCACTGAAAAGCCCTGGCTTCTTTAGTAGCCATCAACAGTAGAATGTCTTTTGCTGGCTCACTTCTTCTTAACCCATGGTTCATCAGGAGTTCAGCTAAATCCTGATCATTGCCCTTACTGTGCAACTCAACTCAAAGGAAGATTCTCATAAATGCATAATTAGAACATGTGAAGTTATGGGCAAACGATTGGAAAAAGCATAAATGTGCAGTAAGTATCTATTCTTTTAATATACAGTGGAACTTTTGAACCTGCAGGTCATGGTAAAATCAGTTGCAGAGATTGTGTTTCAGCAAGTGCCGTCTCGCTTCTCAAACCACATTAAAGGAAGGTGCAAATTCTCTGGAATTTCACTTTATTGCTCTCTTGATTGATTCTGTTCTTCAAATGCTTTCTTCAGGGGTGACATGTAATTTGTGTGCAAGTGGAGCATGTAAACATGTAGCATTTTAAACTAAATCTACAGTGCAGTCAGAGG